TGTTCTCTTGAGCTTGAAGTTCAACCCTTTTAACCCTTTTAGAACTTTTTCTCTCTTTTTGATTATTTTTATTATCCGTCTCTTTAAATTTTTCATATATTTTCCTCCTGAGCCACATCCAGAGAGGTTGGCTAAAGTCCATTGGATCTTAAATTTCTGAATAACATGTGTGGCTTTAGTCCACAGGAACATTAAGCTAACTGGAGATGGCCCTATAGCCTTCATCTTTAATATCTTTGTCTATAATTTTCTTTTTAATCTCCTGAAACAACTCTCCCCATTGCTTCCTCTGGTCCATGTTGAGTGTGGTACACACCATGTCATCAAACAGCACTGCGACCACCTGTAGCTCTACATATAGGCTGACTGACTGATAGCAAGCTTGTAGACAGCTGTGATTAGTGGCACCTTGATTCAACATGTCCCTTTGGTCACATTTTTTATTACTTTATTTCAGGCTTTTTTCATGAGTGTATTTTTTTAATCTCTTTGTCTAAAGCCCTGTTGGAAATCAGTGTCTGATTTTAATTTGTTCAGTTTTATAGAATACAGAATTTAGAACTAGTTATTTCTGTGACTATTGTGTGTTTTTATTTCACTAAAGGAGGTTTACCAACAATTTGTCTGTGTTTAATAAAACGCAATAGACAGCTTACACCAGAAATCGTTCTCCAAGTTAAGGATGTTTTTACCAAAAAATGTGAAACAGAGCTATAAAAACACAAAATGAAGTAATGAGCAGAGAGGGGCCTTTGATGCTGGGTCTCAGATAACATCTGTTTACTGGTGTTGGACCGTTTCGTAATCTGCGGCTTCGCTTGCAGGAGCTAGCTATGCTAGATATTAACAGCTTCCTGTGTTTTTTTTACTGCAGTCAAATCCTTAAGCTTTCATGACTACATAAAACTGCACAGCCAACATTAACTACTTAGAAATAAAGTTATGTTAAATACAACTGATTCACTGAAGTAATTTAGCAGCAGCAACAGATTTCAGGCAGCATGTGAGCAGCAATACCTTGAAACGGAAAAAAAAAGGAAGGAAAGAAGATGAGAAACATTTTTGATAATGTTGAAAGAAAGATGGTTGAAATAAGTTTAGTTTAATTCAGTTTATTTCTATAGCTCCAATTCACATCATGTCATCTCAG